TTTTTTTTTTCCTTTCTATCTTTCTATCAATCTATCTATCTATCTATCTATCTATCTATCTATCTATCTATCTATCTATCTCCCTCCCATCTTTCACCACAAGAGCAGCATTCTTAGTCGAGAGCTGTTTCCGTATCCAGGGATCTAATCTATCTAATCTATCTAATCTATCTCTCCCATCTTTCACCACAAGTGCAGCATTCGTAGTCGAGAGCTGTTTCCGTATCCAGGGTCACCCAGGAGGAAAAGCCCAACAGACGAGGGAAGCCCTTGTGGACTTGGAACCAGATCATAACAAGGAAAGAAAGCAGGAGAAAAATAGATGGAGACCCCGTGGCTTTCCATTTTTAAACAGTTTTACCCACATGTTGCCTGCATTGAGTTGTAAGAGACTGGCAGTGAAGGATGGTGTTGGTGGTGGTGGGGATGATGATGATCCACTCCAGCTTCCCAATCTCACACCCTTGCAAGGCCTTGAACTGCATCGCCTACTATTTCCCTGCCCTGCCACGGTGATGGACAGTGTAGCCTCACACCGGTGGAGGAAGGCCAGAAGAGGTAGAGCTTGGCTGGGGATGCTGGGTTTTGTAGTCCCTTACTTAATATTTCCAAGCCCTGGTGAAACACCAATGTCGGAGCCAATGGAATGGGACAGCACCAGAACACCTCTTGGCTGAATTTCACAGGCTTTACATTTGCCATCTAGGTCTGGGAAGGTTTTCACGACGTTGTGGCCTGTATTCTAGCTAGTCATCTGTAGAGCGCAGAAAGCGAGCAAGGGAGAAGGATGTGGGGGGGAGAGAGAGCAAACCCAGAGGCGTTGGGTTGGACAGTCTGGTAGCTTTCAGAGATGGGCTGCCTTCCTTCTTAGTGTTTCTGCTTTGCTTTTGCGGTGTTTGTACCCCTTCTCTCGGCGGCTCATGCAACAAGCCCATAAGGCAGTTCGACCTGCTGCTGGGGCTGGAGAGCATGGCCAAGGCCGCCCCATGACTCAGTGGCGTGAGAATTTATCCAGAGGCTTGCCTGCTCATGATGTTAGCCACTGCACCACGCCAGCGTTCTAGGGGGTGGCAGATCATCGGCAAGCAAGCGATGCAAGGTGCTTTGTGGTGTCCGCGGAGAGGCACAACAGCCTCAGTCTTGCACCAGGATTGGAATCTGGGACCTGGAGCAGAACCCTTGCATTTCCCTTTCCCGCACTCCAGCCCACCTCCTCTCATCTCCCAGCCTGTCCGCTCGCTGCTGTGAAGCCAGGGTGGTTTCGGTGCTCTGTATAAGGCCCCGAAGGCAGAGAAAACGGGGGGGTCTCCATGAGACCCCTTTGACATCTTTACTCTGCCTCCAGAGAGAGTCAGGCTGGCTGATCAGCTGATGGCGAGTCCAGGAAGGGGCCCGATCCACCATTTGCAGGAGTGGGGCCTGAGGCGCCTGTTACTTCATTCCTGTCCTCCTTTGGAGTTCCAAATCAAGGGCTTCGGTTTAAAAGAGCTTTGCCCTCACTGGCGGATCTGTGCCATTCCCCCCCCCTCCAAACCGACACACACTGTTCCAAGGGCTGCGCTGCCAAGCCGGTGGCTGAGTGCCAGCGATAATTTCTGAGAGATCATTTGATCGACATTCAGGCCTTTCATCAGCAAACAGGAAGGGTAGAACCGTGATCACCCGATCGGCTGGGAAGCAGAGTGTTCCACGCTCGGCTGGCGTATTGCAGAATCAAGGGATCCCTGACCTATGGAGAACTATACGTGACTGGAAATTAATTTAAAATAAAAGGATTTTTTAAAAAAAAAATATTAAAATGGCCCAACAGAGTTTTGGAATGCACAGGATATTGAAACGTCTGTTGATGCTGGAAGGAGAAAAGAAAGATACTGAATGGGTTGAAGCAGGGGAATGACCCTCCCCAGGCTGTTCAGAGGTTATGGGACAGCCCACCCTCCCTGTAGCGATTCTCCTGCATGGCGTAAAGGCAGAAACTCAAATAAAGTGTAAGTTCCAAAAGTCAGTTTTTGTGCTCTAAGCTCATGAAGAATTGCCTGTGCTATTCAGCGTCACGTACTGTTACCCAGTTGGTGATTTACTTCTGGCCAGGATTTCTGGGAGTTGAAGTCCAAGAACATCTGGAGGCCCAAGGTTGAGGACCACTGCTCTAAGCTCATGAAGAATCGCCTGTGCTATTACAGCTTCACGTACTGTTACCCAGTTGGTGATTTATCCGTTAGCCTAGTAAAGAGCTTTTTCTGATGGTTCTCAAATTGGGTCCTCCCTAGACATTGCTGGACTCCCTTTTCCCGTAAGCCCCCCCCCGCCAGTGTGATGATCTGATGATGTGTGGAGATTTAACTTGGGGTGACCCCTTGTCAGGGTTTGCTTTCTGCAGCCTGGTGCTCTACATACCCTTTAAACTTTGCCCCCCTCCCCCAAATCCCTCACCATTGGCCGTACTGCCTCGTCCAGATGGGAGCCGTCGTCCAGAAATTTAAAGAGGGAGAAGTTAGAGAAAACTGGAATCCGATGGCCATTTTCTAAGGCTTTCAGGCAGAGAATTCCTGGCTCCTCTCTGGAAAGGAAACTTTGGGTTTTCAAGGGTATAGGATCTTTCCCTCCCCAGGAAAAGGGCTGCTCGGAGTGCTGAACTGAGAGACCAGGGCTTCCTTGGAACATTTTGTTCCCTGCTTCACTTTAAAATCAACGGAATAATAAACAACAAATGAAAAAGGAAGGCATTCCGGAGGCACTTAAATGTACACGAGGTGCCCCTTGCCGTGTTGTAAATCTAGTCACCCTTTCCCATCCTCCTTGACTATATTTCACGAGGCTGTCGGGCATTGTAGTCTGGACCCACTGGAGAGATCTCAATGGAGGGGATGAGCATTCGTGTCTATATCTTGCGTGGGGAGTGGATTAGGTCAGTAAGCCCACCTTGTGGATGCATGAACTTTGGACACCAGGGAGCCGATGGGGACTAGCGGACAGAGTGATCCACTAGGACTCAAGGAACCTGGGTTCGAGTCCCTGCCTGGCCACGGAAGCTCATTGGAGGGTGGAAACCGTTCCTTAAACATCTCACAACTGTTGAATTCCCAGTTAGGGCTGCCGTGAGGCCATCGTAGCTTGATGGCACGTAACGTAACCCTGCAGTGCCCTCATTCCTGTGGGCTTGTGACCAGTAGGCGACCTGGTTCACCTGTATTCTCCTGCTCAGTGGCAAGGAAGGCTCTTGCCCTTATCTCTACTTTTTCCCTGCGGGTGTGGTTAGATCCCCCACCCCACCCGTTCTTGGAAACGGAGATGATGGTCGAGGAACCCAACAGACGATGACATTCCCATTTGGCTGGCTTTCCTTTCCCGTAGCACCCGGAGGCAGCTCCCCTCCCGTTTCGGGGAAGACCCGAGAGGTTTTGAGCCCCCGTTTTCAAAGACGGCCGGTTCTCTCCCCCAGCGTCCACCCATGTTTTTGTCTCCTGCAGGTGGACGACGCCATGCTGATGTTTGACAAGACGACCAACAGGCACCGAGGTGAGACCCGCTCAGTGGGGTACGCAAGACCACCAAAAATGTGTATGATTTGCACATGTGAAGGGGGGCTTTCTGTAGGGCCCGGGCTCAGCTGCCCTTCCAGGGTGCGCTGACTGGCCACCCTTCTCGGCCCCTTTTCCCTCTTTCCTTCATCGGCCGGGTCCATTTACCCGAGGGCCCTCCCCTCGCCTGTCTGCACAGAAGGCTTTTTGTCTTCCCTGCTTCCTGTGCTGACATCAGGGCGAGGAAGAGACGGCCTTTTCCCCCTCGGCTCCTCGCACCTACGTTGCTCCGGTGAGGCTCTCTGTGCCTTACCTTGTCCTGGGTAATTTGAGCCCCAGAGAGGCTGACATAGGAGCCGAAGGGCGGCAGCTTCTCCCTGCCACCGCTGGGGATGGAGGCGTACGGGGGGTGGGGGGTGGTTGGCTGTTCCCAGGTCATCTTTTTCCCCGAAGTCCCCTTTGCGGAGTTGGGTTACGCAGAGAGAGAGAGAGAGCCCAGGTAGATTGTGGCATTCCTCTGTGTGGGGCGTGTACCTGCAGTACGACAGGCAAGGCGTTTCATCTGGGGCGATTCCAAGGCTACCGGAGTAGCATCTTGCAGCCTCCCACTGCCTGACCAGTTTGGAAATCCATCATCTGCTACCTCCTGTCTTTGTCCTCCACGAGCTTCCTTTCCATGGCCTTGTCCAGCCCTTTCACCACCCATCGAGAGAATTCCTGCTGGAAAGCAGCAGGAAAAGAGGACAAACCGATACGAGGTGGACCGACTCCCTAAAGGAAACCACAGCCTTCATTTGGCAAGAACTGAGCAGGACCGTTGAGGAGAAGACATTTTGGAGAGCACTCGTTCATAGGGTCACCCTGAGTTAGAAGTAACTTGACAGCACATCGCCACCATCATCCTCATCTCATATTTAGTTGGGCTAATCCTGCAGAGCTGGGCAGAGTTATTTCTGCCGGTCAAAAGGGCCCAGGCAACGTGGCCCATTCTCCCCTGCGTTGTGGGGATTCTGGGTGTCGTAGTCAGAAGCAAGTCATCTTCCCCTAAGGTCCGGAGAACTATCCCACTTCTCTTTGAGTCGTCGGGCATTTTTGTGGTGCTTTGAACCCCTGGTGCTGAATCGTGTCCTGCAAGCAGCAAAACAGATTAATTTCCCCCTCCAATGAGACAAAGTTTCTAAATGATGACATTTAATCAACATACATAATTTTCTCCACTGAGTTTTTTAAAATTCTTTTTTGTTTTGGTCTGAGAATGTAATGAAGCCTCATTCCAAGTGGAAAAGAAGTTATATTATTTGAATGAGTAGGTGCTTTCTTGTCTAGTTTTCAAAATGCAACCTTTTGAAATGTTGCTTTTTGAGGGCATTTTAGACGTGCATATTGACAGAATGTTTTCCATTTTTTTTGCCATTGTTGTATAGTTTATCAAAGAGAGAGAGGTGGGAAAAAAACAAACAAGAAATTCAAGGAACACTTTTTCAACATTATTCATGAGTAATAGAAAAAAGTTATTTCTTTATAAAGTCACTTTCCAGGTTCGATCCGTCTTTTGGTATTCTGCCTCCTCTAACTCCTCAGCCCTCTTGCCCTGCTTCTTGGCTAAGGGAAGCGAAGGCCCTCCTGCTGACTGGGATTTTAAAAAGAAAAAGATTTTGATGCTTTGATGGTGGCAACCTAAGGTGTCCGTGGAGGGCAAGATCCGGCCTGAAGGTCACCAGATCAGTGCCATTGCTGAAGAAGTTGCAGGATGTGATGTTTGGCTTTCGCAGGGCTCAAAGTGATTCTGAATCACTTTTCTTCTTGGCTATTTGAGCAGGCCGGGCACTTCCTCTTATGGGTCTGAAAAGTCTGAGGCCAGGAAGCTGTTGGACCCAGGAAAGGGGGCTATCCTGAAGACAAGCTTTTTTTTGGCCTTGAAAGAAGGGAGTAATCCTTGTATTCTTCGCATGTAGAAGACTAGCGTATCAGGGAAGGGGCAAAACCTTTGCTCCCTGAGAGTCTAGCCTTCTGTGTGCAGGTATTTTGGTCAAGGTCTGTGTGAGAAGCAGAATGACAGAGAGAGAAGCAGAGCAGATTTTATTGCTCTTGTCTTAAAAACAGAAAGACGGCGAGATTCTGGCTACAGCTTTCCTTTGTCATGAGATCTGAGGTTCTGCTGGTCTTGGGCGCGCGTCCTGAAGTTAGGTCCCTTTCCTTTTGTTTCTTCAGGCTTTGGATTTGTCACTTTTGAAAGCGAAGACATTGTGGAGAAAGTCTGCGAGATCCACTTCCACGAAATCAACAACAAAATGGTGAGAGCCGGAGGGCGGGAGGGAGGGGAGCAGATCCGGCACATTTTATTTTGGGGTGGATAACCATCGACTCCGTGAAATGCATGGAGGACCCTAGTCCAGCCACCGGTAGGACAGAAGGAGGGAGAAATTAGGGGAGGCTGACCAGAGAAGGGGATATAATACATTTCCTTGGGTTGCTCTCCTTATTCAATGAGCGTCATCCAGATTCATAGGCTGCCCCCAAAAGCGAAAGATTTCTGCCTGACTTACAAGTGAAATAAGAAGAAATTTCAAACCATGTGACAAATGTACGAGCTTTTTTTGGTGGTTCTGCAGCCGCTTCCTAGTTTTGGAGGCTGTTCCTTGCTTTTTTTTGGTTCTGCACAACTGGCCCAGGGATTTGACTCCTTCTGGGGTTATTTTTCTGTGTGTCTGCGCAGGTGGAATGCAAAAAAGCTCAGCCAAAGGAAGTCATGTCCCCCACTGGCTCGGCAAGAGGGCGATCCCGGGTGATGCCTTACGGGATGGACGCTTTCATGCTTGGAATCGGCATGTTGGGTAAGGATGGGGACAGAAACACACACACACACCCCCAATAAAAAACTCCTGCTCTGCTCCGTGATGCCCTTGGGGTTATGGCTAAGGCCAAATGGATGTGTGGGTCGGCTGGACCGCATCACTGATGTCAGAAGTCTCGTGATGCGGAATTCGAAATTCGGTGGCCGGGAATTTGGGTTTGTCGTTCTGCGTCGCCCTCTTCTGGCCGACGGGAGGATGGGAGAGGGTCTTGTCGCTGGAACCGTTCTTCTCTCATTGGTGCCTTTACGGCACGCCCTCCCCTTGGCCTGCACTTTGTTGCATTAAAACTGGATTCGACCGCCACTCTTCACACCGTTTTTGAAAAGGTCGATTCTGCAACCGTTTCTGGGCTCCCGCCTTCGAGAGGCAGGCTTAGATTGGGAAATTCGTGCAGAAGCAACAGGGAGACTCCTCTGTGGGACCCCGAGAATCCTTTAAAAAGAATATATAAATCTCTGGAATTAACGAAACTGGTTAATACTGGGATGTGGAAAAATCCTGCTGTGCAGCTGTCAGAATGTTCCCGGCCATGTGTAGAACTTGGGAAATAAGGCCGGCAACTCGTCACACCTGCCAAAAAGTGGAACACCCTCCCCCAAAAAATATCAAACTCTAAATGTTGACTGTTCTTTCCCATTTCACTTGCTGTGTCCAATCTTGGCCATCAGGGAACATGAGGTCATTCCCCCTGTAATTCCCTATAAATGAGGGAATTAAAAGCCATCCTAAGCGAAACTGAGTCCTTTGTGTGTCTCACTGTGAAACAATCTTATTTTTTTTCTTTTCTTTTTTCCCTCCGAAAATAGGTTACCCAGGGTTTCAGGCGGCCACCTATGCCAGCCGAAGCTACACAGGCATCGCGCCCGGCTATACCTACCAGTTTCCCGGTATGTTTCCATTTTTTTAATTCCATCTTGAATCTCTTGAGGGGGTTTCCCTCCTACGAGGGAATCCGGTTCTCCTCCTCTCCCTGGTCTCCCTCCCTCCAAAGGGGATTTAAAAATGGGGGAAGCGAAATCTAAATATACGTATCTGTGAGCCATGCAGATGCTTTTCTTATCCTGAGAAGAGGGAGAGGCAACCAGGTGGCTTTCCTTGCTTAGAATCTTCCTGGAGGTTTGTTAGCCCAAGAAAGGCCACCATGGAGGCATCTCCCTCCCTCTCCCTTCCTCTCTGTCTCTCTCTTTCTTTTTCTCTCTCTCCCCCTCTGCACCTTCCCTTTGCTGTCTTAGTTCCCGAAACCCAGCCACCTTATTCTCCTCTCAGAGTTACTGCCTCCTGAAAACAGAACGAAGAGAGTGCATTTTAAAACAAAGGCGAGGAGAACCCGAGCCCACCCCCATGGGAAGACCAAATCTGGTTGTTGGGGTTCTCCGAGAAGGCTAAAACGCATAATCGGAATTACAGAAAACAGCAACATTAGGAACAGCATGTGTACTGTGCTGATACTTAACAGACACAGTGGTGCCCCGCATGACGATGATAATCCGTTCCGTGAAAATCGCTGTTTAGCAAAATCATCGTCATGCGAAAATCGTTTCCCCTTTGGAATGCATTGAGACCCATTTAATGCGTTCCAATGGGGAAAATACCTCGTTGTCCAGTGAAGATCACCCATCGGAAAGCCGCTTTGCGAACCGCCGATCAGCTGCTTTAAATTGCTGTCTTGCGAAAAACGGGCCCGAGAACACCCGTTTTGCGAAGATCAAGCCGCCAATCAGCTATTTTAAATCGTCGTCTTGTGAAAAAACGGTCCACAAAGCACGGACCAGATTGTCGTCCAGCGAAATTCCCCCATAGGAATCACTTTTGCGAAGCAAAATGGCAGTCGCAAAACGTTGTTGTCATGCGGATTCATCGTTTTGAAGGGTAATCGTCTTGCGAGGTACCACTGTACTTAGGTTTTGGGTTAAAACTCTTATATGATACCGGTTTTATAATTTGGATTGACTGTGCCTGGTATTTTAATGATGATGACGATGAAGACAATGATGGAAGCTTTTATCAGTTCTGGCGAGAAGCAGAAGTTGGGGCAGTGGGCAGTTTTAAAGGGTGGCCACCCCCCACTCCTTGTTACAGTGTGGGGTTTTGGAACTGGGTCTCCTTGGGCTCTGAGGGTTTTCAGCAGGTGTGGCAGCTCTGAGGACGCCCCACGTCTTGCTCCTTGGGCGCCGTCGGTGTTTGCTGTGGCATCCCTCCCCTCCCTCCCCGATCTTTGCCGAATCCTGCCTCTTTGGGGGTGGAACTGACCGCCTGTCCTAAGTTCTCCTTCCTTTCATTTTTAGAATTCCGGGTAGAACGGACCCCCCTCCCGAGTGCCCCTGTTCTCCCCGAGCTCACAGGTCAGTTCCACCAGTTTCTTCCACCTCAAAATATATACATATATATAAAAATAAAATAAAAAATAAGTCAGAAGGGGGCAAAGGGGTAGCTTTGGGTGACTTGGCTACAATCAGAGTGTGCCTTGCGGTTTTGAGAAAGGGAGGAGTGCGTGCGATTGTGTGTGTATGCAGGGGTTCGGAGCAACTGGCAGCGAAACCCCTTCCCGCCTTCATCTGAGCTGGTGGCAGGACGAAGGGGAGAAAAGCCCAATGGAGCAGGAACCATCCAATGAAATCCATCCCAAGGGCTAGAGGACAAGCGAACATTCGAGGGTGGTTGGCCGGCCAGCTCAGTGAGTTGGGTGCCTGGCTGTGGAGCCAGGGGCCAGGAGCTTGATTCCCTGTGGTCCCTCCAAGGAGAAGAGCCAGCCTGGGTAGCCCTGGGCCGCACAATGATCCTAGGGAACCTGGGAGAAGAGCCAGCCTGGGTAGCCCTGGGCGAGCGGCACAGTGGTCTGAGGGAACCCACAGGAGAAGGAAAGAGTAAACCCTTTCGACTGTCCGTGCAGAAAACCCTGAAAAGGTTTTTCAGAATTGACTTAATGGCATGTAGTTATTGTTGTGAAATGTAATGATGAAAAGCAGCTCACAAAACAATCTGCCGTTTAACTCCTAGCGGCTTTCTGGATCATGCTACGAGGAATTCGATCAGAGATTCCTTAATTAGCAGCCATTCAAATTATGCCCTTCCACTCATGCAGGTATAAGAAGCATTCGCTTGGATTCTGGCCGGCGTTGCAAAATAGAACGGAAAGGGGCTTCAGTCAGAACTTCTTTTGTCCGAGGATTTCAACGAAAGTTGGGGAAAGCTCTCCTCTCTTCTGCATAATATCTTCCCCCTGCTCTGGGATGGCTTCTTGTCCGGTGGTCCCCAACCTTGGGGCCTCCAGATGTTCTTGGACTTCAACCCCCAGAAATCCTGGACAGCAGAGGTGGTGGTGAAGGCTTCTGGGAGTTGTAGTCCAAGAACATCTGGAGGCCCAAGGTTATGGTTTCATCATCTCACAACTAGGATTCTGGAAGTCCAAATCATGTGGAGGAGTGAGGATTGAGACCCCCAGCGCTTCAAGGACCTTCATTATCAGGCCTAATGCAGCTCCCCAGAACCTCTGGGTGCTTGGAAAAAAATGGGGGGGGGAATCTGCCCCTTCAAAGCTTAGGAATTGGGAAATGTGGTGGTCCTGATCCTTTGGAAGCCACCCGCCTCTGCATTGAAGTGTAACAGCCGGCTTACATGCCACGGTGTGAAGAAGGATCTCCCTTTTGCCCACCCTGCCTCTTCCTGCCACGTCAGGTTGCTCAAGTGGCCTCATCGCAGGCACGAGGGAACCACATCCTCTCTTTGCTGCTCTGCACCCATCCTGGCGTTGTGGTCTCCTTCCTGGCCTGTCCCCCTCCCACCCCCCAGCACACATTCCCCCCTACCCACCCACTCCCAAGCTTAATAGACGGCCGTAAGCTTCTCAAGATGCTCCTGCTTTGTAGCGATTGTCAAGACGCTGGATCTTGTGCCCCTGAGAAAGAGTAAATCCAAATCCAGTCGATGGGCTGTAGAGCCAGGCCGCTTGGCTGCAAAGCAAAACACACCACAAACCCGTTACGGGCCGCAGATCCTTGTGTATTTCATGCCCCCGCGGTTATTTGTGAATGTGCCAAAGCCTGCACAGGGTGGCGGGGTGCATCGCCCTGAGATGCCCAGCATCTGTGTCCAGTGTGTCTAGAGGCAAGAGACCCAGGGAGGTGTAGCATCTTGGAGGTAGCCTGAAGCAGTTCCTCGTTCAGGATCTGAGGCCACCGAGACTTTTCACGGAGAACAAACCCTTGTAGAGCATGACCCCGTGGGCACACCGGGAAAGTGTCAGGAGCCCAAGCAGTGGGCATGAGACACCGCCCACTGACATGAAATGTGGTTGTCGTTAACAGTTCCTCTGTGCACATGCAGAGGGATGTTTCACCTCTCTTGGACAGCCTTTGAAGGCAGGGCTTTAATCTCTGTAGAAATGTCTACATTTGTAGCTTGCTTTTCTTCGATAAACATCAAAGGGAGTAGTGAAAAAATATTTAGAATCGAGAACAGAAACCACAAGAAAAATTAAAGCAGCCTAATGAGGACATGTCTGTTTGCCGGCTGCCTTGGGTAGACATTCTAGAATGTGTAAAATGGTTTCATAACATCCGTTTTAAAAGCAATTTATTATTATTTCTTACACGTAGCTTGCTTTATCTTCAAAAAGAAAGCCAGTATAGACAATTAAAAATACATATACAATAGAATCCAAAGTTGGGTATGTTGCTTTAGCAGACTACAATTCCCAGACTTTGCTGTACGATTTGGGTATTTCTACCGGCAGGACGGGTTGCTCTCGCCTCCCTGTCGTCTCCAAGGGGAGCCCCATGCCTTTGGGGACGTAGAAGCCTAGCATGGTTTTAAAACCGCTGGTTGAGCTTTAGCCGACTTTGGAGCCGACTTCCAAACCTATTTTTGGTTGCCGGTGTTTGAACCGTCGGTGCTGAGCGTGCGAGGGGTGCGGCCGTCGGCGGCGTCCGACACCCCCGCCAGCCTGCCTCCTTGGTCGCCCACTGATGCGGGTCTCCTTCCTTTCCAGCCATCCCCCTCACGGCGTACGGACCGATGGCAGCGGCGGCCGCGGCGGCGGCTGTGGTGCGCGGGACAGGTAACTGCGGTCTATCTCCCGCCTAGCCCCCCCCCAGCAGGTGGCCCGGCTCGCTGAGGGACCGTTTTCTCCCGGGTGAGGGGGTGGGGTGGGGGGCAGAAGCTGCCACGTTGACATCTTGACGGGCCAGTCCTCCTTCCCCCCCTAGGTTCCACCCCGAGTCGCACTGGGGGGTTCCTGGGCACCACCAGCCCGGGCCCGATGGCGGAGCTGTACGGAGCGGCCAATCAGGATTCAGGAGTCAGCAGCTACATCAGCACGGCCAGTCCCGCCCCAAGTACCGGTTTCGGCCACAGCCTAGGGGTGAGTGACGAGGCTGACGTCCGGCCGGTTTCGGCTCGGCTTGGGATGATGCCCAACGGGGCTGCGAGAGCCACCCCTGAACCGTTTGCCTTCTTTGTGAAAGGATCGTTCTGATCATCCGAAACAGCAGGAGCAGTTGTTCCTCTACATCTGGAAGGTTAAATCCATGGGCACTGTGCAAGACACACTGCCCTCCTCTCCGCTTCGTCACCCTTCTGTACCTCCAGAAGCTGATGAGGAAAGATGGGAGCAACCCATTCACTGCTTCACATTTGTACACAAAAGCAACCGCCATCCTAAGTTGGGGCAGTTTGCACAAAATCAAAAAGGTCAGGGAATTCCAACTATGGAAGAGGCTGCATTCTAGTGCCGCATTCTGTGATGTGGTTTTGCATTCATGCGCAGCTCTGAAGCTACGCTGCTTACATGAGTTGGCCATCGGTGTCAGCAAAATTTGGGCCAGTTTCCTGTTTCCACTCTTTTCCTGTCCTTTCCATAGCTCCTGTTTAGGAAGCAGGAGATACGCCTAGTGAATGAATTTTTTTTCTTTTAAAAGGGACCTTTGATTGCAACAGCATTTACTAACGGTTACCACTGAAGCTGAGGACCAAGAAAGAATGAGGTATGACGGTTAGCATGGAACAAACTAGTGGGGTTGGGAGGCTGACTGCTGTAATGAGGTGCACATAGGGCGGCCCTTGAAGACCGCTCCTACAAGGACTCCAGCACTATCAACCACCGTGTCCAACAGTCATGGGTGGGGTGATGGGACTTGCACTTAGGCATACCTAGAGGGCACCAGAATGGGTCATCCCTCTAGCTTTTTTTGGATTAAATTCACCTTGCAAGCCCCTGAATGATTTCATTCCATTTGTACGCCAACCTACTAACGAAGCAAAGGACACCACGGGAGATTGTTGCTGGCCTCTGAGCAGCCAATAGTTTCCTCTCCCCAACTGCAAGTCAAGGGGGATCACATCCTGCCGGGCCTGAGGTCTCCTGCTTACTCCTCCCCACTCCCCTGTAGACTGTGGCTGTTTCCTGCTTTGAATGGCCCGATAGCGCCCTCCACACCTGTGAATCCATGAGCCCTGGTGTGCCACTATCTGGAGTCCTCTCTAAGCGCCAAAGGGAGAAGGTTGGGCAAGGTTGTCACTGGTGCCCTTTTTTCGATGTGTTTACATCATTCTCCTCTTGTCTTCTCTCCCTTCTTCCCTTCCTGCCTCTCTTCATCTTTCTGTTCATTATGAATCCATCCATCCATCCATCCACTACAGATTCTCCAGCAAGCAAACCAAGGACCGCGAGCTGGAGGATCCGGCCGAACTTGAGGGACAAGCCAAGATTTCACTGTAGTCCATAAAACTGCACCCTGGAGGCGGTTGGCCAGCTCCGCTCTCTCCTGTGACCGGAAAGCACTGGATTTGAACACAGGGGAGACCTTGGTCTCCTCTTATTAACTGCAGGCCGTTTACACTTCTCCCCGAACCCCCTGCCCCCCTGATTCTTCTTTTCTTTATTTTGTTAGCCGGTTAGTTCTTATTCTTATTTTTTAATCTTTTGGGGGTGGGGTGGGAGAGGGAGGGAGGAAGGGAAGGAGGGGAGGGGCTTTGGGGGGGTCGACAGGAGATGATTTCTCTTGTTTTATTCGGTTCTTCCAGAGCTCTGGAAGAACCTTTTAAATGAACGGGGGGGGGGGGGTCTTTCTTGTCTTTCTTTTCTTCTCTCCTTCTCTCTCTTGCTCGCTTTTTTTTGGTGGGGAGCGGGCGATTGTGCGTAGGTAGTTTTTAATTGAGGAATATTTTTATTTGGTTATTTGTTTTAGATCTATATAAATATATATATTTTGGGTGTGGGGAAAGGCACGGACGGGCTCAAGTCACGAGAAAAACGGCCTCTTTTTTTGGAAGGACCAGTGGAGGCGAGAGGGAGGCCGTTCTGAACGAGAGGGAGGACGGTGCGTTCAGTGGCTGGCCTGTCTTTTTTGCTTTTAGAGAAGCAAAATGGGTTCCCTACCACCACCACCTTTTCTGTCGATGTGAGGCTTTTTGTCGAGATGTACGGAATTAGCAGGAGACAAATGCTCGCAGGCATTTCTCCGGAACAAATACAAACTGTATATTTTGCTAAGCGAAAAAGAACATTATTCCTTAGGGCTGATCGCACCCACCCTGCCATGTTTTTTTTTCTTTTAGATTTTAGGTTACTGTGGGTTTATGATGGTTATTTTGCTTCCCCCCCACCCCTCCCTCTTCCTGTACCATAATGTAAATAGCACAAGGCATCCTTTGGCCTTGTTGGTCTCTATGATGGATCCACTCCGCTCTCGTTACTCTTCCTTCCTTCCTTCCTTCCTGGGCTTTGATGCCGTAGACGTGAGCAATACTTTCTGGATGGACCACGAAGAACGTCCTTTCTTTTTTATATCTTTTACTGTACGATTTTAAGACCTCTGAGGAGATGAAAGTGGGGAGCGTGGAGGGGTGGGGAGGGGATGAAGAAGGAATTGAAATGGGGAGGGATGTACGGGGGTGGGGGGAGGCAAAGAGGGCTTTACGGAGGCTCCTTAACCCGCTGGGGGCTGTTTGTTTTTTTGGGGGGGCTGAGCAGCTTCTGGCTGGGGCGACAGGCGGCTACGGGCTTCCCTGCTGAGTCTCCACCATTCCTTACCTCTGTGAGTGCTTTGAATGAACGCCAACTCTCCTAATATTTCTCAGTTCCTGCCGAGGAGGGGCCGCCCTCCCACATTTCGGGTGGGTGACGTCTCAGGCGCTGGGCAAGCCAAGCACTGCTGGCCAGGGTGACTTGGGGGGCAAGGTCCTTAAGGGATGCTGTGAGGGGAGAGGGAAAGAGGCATTCCCCATCAATACCCTTGCTCGGCCGCTGGCTGATAAAGGTTCTCCCCACCCTTAATGATCCTTGGTGTTGACCTACCGGAAAGGAGGAGGCTTTATATGCCAGGGATGGGAGTTCCCCTGGGGTGAGAGGAAGAGCACACGGCACATGCTCAGAGGCACTCTCGGAGCAGCCTAGGAGCAGAGGCGAAACCGTGACCAAGAACGGATGTCCTGATTTCATTCCACTCCCTCCGCCCTCCGCCTGCCTGCCTCTTCATTTCTTTCCCTCACTCTCAGAAATGGCCACAGATGGGGCAGGATATATTGGAAGAAGGAGTGGATGCCTTCCTTTCAAGGGAGGGTGACTTGGGAAGAGCAGGGACCTGACCCTCATGGGACACCGTTCAGTAAGAGGTTCTCCTGCAGAAGGTGAACAGGAAGGGTTTAAAAGGCTGCTGACACCCTGCCCCCCAAGTCTCTCTCTTGCAATCCAGGCACCAAGGGGGTGTTTTGATCCTTGATGTGAAATACCCGCATCCCTCCCTCGCTGTGTGTGCTCAACGATCTGGAGGGCCATTCAGTTCAGTGGGAAAGTCTCCCGCACAAACCCTCTGGAAGCCCTGTCCAGCTGTAGAAACATGGGATAGGAGTGGGTGACGGCACAGGTGCTAGCCAGCCGGTGCCTTCTGCAGCTGGCAGAGCCCTCTGCCGGCACGGCTCTTTTCCTGTTGCCATCCCTAGCTGTGAAGCTTGTGCGGGGTGGTGGTGGTGGTGGTGGAATCTTCCCACCAGGTCAAGCCCCGTTACAGATTAGGGTGCTATTTATATTTTTCTTGGGAACGGAGATGATCTTGGCTCAAGCTTATGAACCGCGGCAGTTTGGCTCTCAGTCCATCCGACCCAAGAGAGCTGCTCTAGACCAGGAGATGAACCTCGGAAGGAACGGCCATGTTCCTTCTCCCAATCTTGTTTTTGTTCATTCAGGAGAATGATGGAGTCTTATGCCCAGGAAAAATGGTTCCATTTCATCTTTAGTTTGGAAATAACAGTTTTAACAACTCTTTCCCCCTCCTGGACCATAAGCTTAGCCCCTAAAAGCCAGGTAGAAAGAAGCAGGAAGAGGATAGAAACTGGATAAGAGAAGCTGGGAAAAAAAAGGTTTGGTAGAGCTGTCATAGCCTTTGGCTTCTTTTACTTGCTGGCATTTCTGGTCAAGCAGCTTTTGCAGGTTCTTGGGGCAGTCCAAAAGCCTCCGAAACCTGTTTGACCAGAGAACTGTAATGAGGCAAATCCGAGGAAGATTCTGTGTGATGTGGTCTCAGGTTGATTCTGACTCACGGCGGCCCTAGTAGGGTTTCTGAGGTATGTCGGATATTGAAGGATTGGTTTTAATAGTGCCACCCACTCTGCTGAGCTTCCGTGGTCAAGTGGTGGGATTAGAACCCAGGTCTCTTGAATGTGTCCCGTCCCCCACCCCGCCACCAGCAGATTTCCATTTGCATGTTTAGACTCACACCGCTTGCAGGACTGATGATGCAACTGGAGGTAGAGCCAGTCACCCAAGAGGGAGGCCTGCCGGGGCGCAGAAACAAACCATTCATCTTCTGCTTTAAAGGCCAAGAGGATGTTGGCCTTTAGAACGTTTCCCGGGTTCCACTACTGAGCAACACATGCAATGGCCCGTGAGTCTTCCTGACATGTTAGTTTTCCACCTGCAGGGATTCGTAATAGTAATTCAGGCTTTTTGAACCTCCAGGTTACTCCCTCTTGCAGGTTAAAGCAGGGCGTACAACCCCGTGAGTCTTCCTGACATGTTAGTTTTCTACCTGCAGGGATTTGTAATAGTAATTCAGGCTTTTGAACCTCCAGGTTAGTCCCTCTTGCAGGTTAAAGCGGGGCGTACAATGGAGGCAATATTTTACTGACTTAATGCTGCAGGGTGCATACTCAACCCCGTGTATGTCTCTTGAGCAAGGATGGGGGGGACGGCTTCAAAGCCCCTTCCATTTGCTCTCTCTCACCTTCTTTTCCACCTTCCCTCCCTCTTGCTGTTCTGCCCTCATATCCCAAGCGGTCAAAGTCCCCACCCGAAGCAGCCTGAAAATATTCGGAGAGTTGCCCGCATGATGGGAAGCCGAGCGAATTAGTACTGGAAAAACACAAAGCAATAATTTTTTTTTACTGAGATGAGTCTGTATGTCTGCTTTTTTAAAAAAGAAGAAGAAGAAATGAAAGCGGAGCCTCATTTAGCAGGTTTATTCTTAATTCTCTAGTCTTCTGCTGTGGGGGGGTGGTGGGAGCTGCCTTTGGCACCGGTACACCCCCTTCGTGGGAACGCGCGCCGAGCAGCCTCTGGGCCCGCCCCTCAACTGAGCCGCACTGCCACGTTCTGGAGTTGGCATTAAATTGGGCTGCGGCCGAAGCAGTCGGCGCTCCGGGCTGGCCGTGCGCGTTTCTTTTTTTCTTTTTTTAAAAGAAAATAAAGCTGTGGTTTTTATTAAGCCAGTTTTATTACATGTCGATGATTGTTCTCTCCATACCTGTAACCCCCTTTTTCCAGATTTTCAGTTTTAAATTCCTAATAAATTATTTGAAAAATGGCTTTCCCCATTGTGGTGGTCTGCGGTTGGGGAGCTTTCGAAAGAGGTGGGCGGTGGGTGGCTGTGGGGGAAAAAAAAATCTCTCCCTGGGAGGGACAGAGTTCTGAGGAAGTGGATCTGGAATCGCAAAAGCCCCCTCTGTTAATCTGTAAAATGGCAGAGCATTTGGGCTTTTCCTCCCCCACCCCTCCTTTCATTTTATGAGCATGCTGAGGCAGACTGACATGGCCAACGTTTGGTGGGGGGGTAGGGGTGGGGGAAGAAATCAGGAATTAAATCTTGCTTTTCAATGACACACAGCCAATGACTGACACACCCCATAGAGGCAGAAGAGAATTTCAGGACATCTTTGGTCTGTATTCTCCTGAGGTAACGGCCACCAACTACAGAAGAGTTAAGAACAACTTTTAAAATGTTTAATTCCCCAGAAACAAGGGACAAAAAAACCTGTTGGTTTAAAGCAAAAAGATCTGGTTGAAACTATACCTCAAAAAGCAAAGAATTGGAGACCATCTCGTCACCAAGAGGTTGAGACACTGGTACTGTACATTCTGTTTTACCTTAACTTCCACTCCAAGTAAACACAAGGTCTCTGGGTGCAAAGCCAGAGTTCGGAGTTCGATTCTCCACTGGGCCTCCTTGATGAGGCATGGAATTGGCGATCCATAGGGCTCCTTCCAGCTCTGCCATTCTAAGTTTATTGTTATTCTTATTATTATAGCCTAATCTCTAGAAAGCATCCTGCTAGTAATGTGGAAGAGCTTAAATGAAGCCCAGGCTTTGACTGTATCACCATTTGCAGATCTGCAGCCCGTTCCTCTTCCTAGAAATGTATTACTTAGTGATCCAGTTCAGTTAGTTCTTGTCGGAAGGGAGACCTATTGTATTCAGTGGTCTTAGGGAGATTCCCCTCCCCTTCCTTAGAGAATCTAACGTGTGGAGTGCACCTTTTGTGTTTAAATGCGACTTCGATAGGTGGGTGAGATATTTGGCTTGTTTCCAATCTTCCTTTAAACTCCAGGTACTTTTTTTTCTCATGCCATGCTGCATGACTGCAAAGAACCAAATCCAGGACTTCTGTTTTCTGAGGCAGGAGCAAACTTTTATTTTATTTTATTTAGAAAGCTTGCACAGTAGGGCCCCTGGATTTGCAGGACTGATCCTGCAAATGCGGGAGTCCTCCTGTATACCACCCGATTTAGTGGGGTCACTACTCAGGGCAGTTTTACATAACAGAAAACCTTTCATTCACCCTCTTGGTGCCCGTTGCTACATCCTTTGCTCTCTGCCCACATACAAGTGACTCGGTACTCTCCATCCTGCGACTGGATTTGGCCCCCAACTTCATGCATGTTTGTTTGTTTGTTTAGTTTGCATATGGTCCCCATTCGTGAACATCCACCACTCCGGGCAGTTTAGAGAACAAAACGCAAACTTCTCCAGCTCGCCGGCTCCATTTCGGCAGGAGAACCTGCCACCAGATGGTAGCCCTGGGGACTGGAGACCAGGTGGAGGAACTCCTTGATCCTTTCTCCTGGAAGCTTTTGCAGGTTAGGAGCTAGCCTGCTTTTTGGTAAAAATGGCATTGCCCCCGAAGGGCTGAGCGGAGGAGCCGGCCCACCACAATGTGGAACTCCTTGGATCGGAGCCAGCGTCAGCGTTGCGTTTCTCATTGCAGCCTCAGAAACCTGGGTGGGAGCCAAAGTCCTGAGAGCCGACTCGCCTGACCACTCCACCTCCTCAATGGGAACAAGAATGTTCTCAGAACTGAGCCATTGTCGCACAGTGGGGTGGGGGTGTCTCCCTCTCTGTGTTGTTCGTTTTGGGCTGCTGTCCCGGCCCCGCCAGCAGCGGCTTCCTCCTTGGGATGAGAAATTTGGAAAGTTCTCCCTCTGCCGAAAATGCAGCCCTCCCCTTTCCGCCCGGCCTGGCAAGACTGTGGGTGCTTGGCCACCTGTTCATGGAGAACTCTTGATGGGCGAATATCATGTTCTTTCCAGACAGTGGAATTTGGCATCGGTTGGTTTTTTTTCTGGAGCAACTGAGGTCATTGTCTTCCGGAGCCCGGCTGAGACATTCTGTGGCCTCTTCCACATGGTCCCTAAGATGAGTGACAGGTTTATCTTGCTTTTTCCACTCCATGAGCTCATGGTGCTGCTGTGCGTGACTCTTTCTCCTGCTACCTCATCCTCACAACAGCCCTGCGGGGTAGGTTGAGCTGGAAGAGAGAGAGTGAGAGAGAGAATGAGTGAATAGTCCTAGGTTCACCCAATGAGGCTTCAATAGGGTCACCCCTTGCCCTGTTTTAGAGAGGAGGGCCCTCAATTTGAGGGACTGGAAGAAGACAACCCTCCTTTTGAAGGGGTGCTCTTCTGGCAGACCTCTCTGGTTCAAGTACGAATTAAAGAAATAACCAGAAAGAGGAAAATCTGGGATCTTAACATGGCCCATTATCCACCTCGACAGCCGGCTGAGCTGCTCTGCACTGCTTGGAGGGACACCCTTCCCCACTCAAGTGAGGGCATAGGGTAGTTCTCTTTAAATGTTACGAATCACTTCTGATTTTCCACCTGTACCTATAAAGAACAACAAGGCTGGGAAAAGGAGGAAGGCAGCAGGGAAAGAGGAAGACCAAATACAAGATGGACTGATTCTCTAAAGGAAACCACAGGCTTAAGTTTTCAAGAGCTAAACAAGGCTTTTGAGGACAGGGCATTTGGGAGATCAATCATTTATAGGGTCACCCTACGTCAGATGGCACGTAACAACAACAGTAACACCTTATCAAGGAGCACTTGCAGTTTTATGAAAAACATTATCCTTTTCTAGTTTTCTTTCAGTGACTCATACTCTGCTTTTTTGGGGAGGGCGGGGGCGATATGTAAGTAGCTGCCCGAGTGTCATGGCACAGGGCGGATTTGAACCACTAGCTGGCGCGTTAGCCACTGCGCTACGTGGGCTGTCAATCAGGAGCTGGAAACAATATGGCCACCTCCATCCCTGGGATCCCCAACCCATTCTCATCAGACCCCCCCAAGCAGAAAAAAAGGTCCTCAAGCAACGGAGTGCCTCAGGAGAAGAGCACAGGGCATCCTTGGGCAGAAACGTCTTGGACTTGACGATCACACGGTTTCGTGTCCAGTCTCAAAAAGATTTCCAGTCGCTTCTTGGCTGGAGATTTCAGATTCCTAGTTGCAGAGCTGAACTTGTGCTCTGACCCCTCTTCTCATGCCGGGCTGGTGGTTATAGTCGCTCCCCTCTGGATGGAGATGATTCGAGCCAACCGTCTTGGCTGATGATGCCCTTGTGGCATCCGCCGTGGTGGTGACTTCTAGAACGGCAGGTGCCTACGAGGCTCAAATGGGAATGAAGGAAGTTAAGGCTCTATCAGGACCATACACATATACGAAAGATGAACAGATCTATTTCAGATCTGTTTTCCTGTTTGATTTCTGTTAGACTCACTCAAGCAGACAAAGGCTATTCCGTCTCTGAACATCTCTACACACAAGCTCCTCATCAAGGCGCCCCTTGTGTGTGCGAATGGGCCATGAAGCCCAGAAGTCCACGTTGGCTTCTTTCTAGAACCACCGATGGTGCTTGACCAGAGTCGCACACAGGACATTCCCCCTTTTCTGATTAAAACCAGATTATCCCCTGTCGAATCCATGCTGAACCCAGCCCTTCTTGGAAAAAGCATTCCGCTAAATGTTTTGCCGTGAGGGTTAGATCAGATGTTTAAATTTTAAAACAAGATCCATCACCAGAGAGGGTGGCGTCAGCGGGCGGAATAAAATAAAGGAAAGAGTCAGACAAGGATTCCTGGAAAGAAAACCAGCTGGTTTTTCCACAGCCTTGTGAAAGGTTTGCTTGTTGACTTCTGATAGAAGAAGGATGCTTATAGAAAGGTAAACACAGCTCCCTTATCGGGGGCTCCTGCTGCCAAGGTGAAGCCAGGCTATAAAGAGATGGCGAAGAGGAGCGCAGAGCCTCTAAGCGATCAGGCTGCAGACAACATGAATCTCCTGCTCCTGGTGTTGGCGTCAGGTGAGCGGCATTTTGAACAGGCCCAGCGGGCTGGGAAGGGAGACCATTGTCCTCCTTACGGCCTTCCAGGCACAACAGAACAGCGCTCTCGTGCGGCTTTGGGTGTGTGTGTGTGTCATAAATTAGCTGACGAATCCACAGAGAAGGCTCTCTTTGGATCTGGGATGGTGTGACAGCTGCTTACCCTCCCAGGAAGCAGAAAGAAGAGTCTTTGCCTTTCTAGGAATGTTGAGATTAGACTACTACCCGGTGTTCTACGTAGGGCTGCCCTTGAAGACAGTTCAAAATAGGATCTCCCAGCAAAACGGCTGACTTGAATGGTGTGAACTGTGTAAGCTCAGATGCCTTTTGTCAAAACAGCATTTCAATCTAGGCAGGAGCAAAGCAGAATGCTGGTTTGGGAATTAAAAGCCCACCACGGATGGTGACCAAGATTGTCTGGGAGTGCCCTCAAATCCTCAGCAGTGGCGTCGCCTCCCCAAAATGTGTTTTCTGTAGAGTGGCATCTTCCTGCATTTTTTAAAAAAAGGACACAGTGTAGGGAAAACTATGCACCTTGGCCCATATGTATATATGAAAACGTCATATTTCTGTGTTTGTCACTCTTTCACTTGGTATCATAGGGTAGAGGTTTTCTTAAATCTGATCTTCGGCAAGTCTTAACTTAGCTCAGACTCCTTGATAGAGGGTGGAAGGCAGGTGGAAATGTAAGTTATAGATTACTATAATCCCCCAATGTTCCAGAGACATGATTCCAGTGGACTGTTGTATCCGGGAAATTAGACTTGCAAATGATGTTTACCTCCTGACAACCAATCACAAAACAAAGCAATCTAATCTGCAAACCACAGGGTGTGTGAAAAGCTCCTGCCAAAACAACTACATGTTCTCAGCCCTTAGAGAGAGCCCCTCCTTCTAATAGCAGGCTATCTGTAATGTGCATACTTTCTTAACTATAGTAGAAGCAGGGTGTCTATGAATCCATGAATTAAAGTATCCTTCTTCTCCTAAACAATTGGAGCTCCTTCTTCCCATAAAAACTTTAGATTTAAGCCTCTTTGAATAACCATAAATTAAGCCTCTTTGAATAACCATAAAGAAATTAAGCCTCTTTGAATAACCGTAAAGAAATTAAGCCTCTTTGAATTTGAGATTTAAATTGAGATTGAAGGAAGAAAAACTGCTAAGGAAACCTGGGGAAGAGTGGGTGATTATCATTATATATTGCTTGTTTTCTGAGAAATATATTTCACTCTCCTTCTCTCTCTCTCTCTCTCTCTCTCTCTCTCTCTCTCTCTCATTATCTTAGTGGCCACAGCCAACATAGTTGTTCCCCGGAACTTATGGCAGTTTCGGAACATGATCAAATGCACTATTCCGGGCAGTGACCCCTTGAAGGATTATAACAACTATGGCTGTTACTGTGGTTTGGGGGGCAGTGGAACCCCCGTGGATGACCTGGACAAGTAAGCCGTTTTCTCTAATAGAATGTGTTGCTTCCTGGATATTTTCCCACTTCCCATTTCAACGCGTCTATGAGACGGTGGCTGTCTGGAGCTTAGAAAAAATCAGTTTCTGAACCATCCCGCCCAGAAAGTTCAGCCAACATGGCCATGGGGGGGGATTAGAAACAGGGGTTTCTCTGGGCTCTGTAATCAAGGCCCCATTCGTGAGCTTCCAAGCAGGCAGCCTTGTGAAGATGTCCCCTTGGAGGGGGGGGGAGACATCCCCAGCTTGGTCTCTTCCAGGGAGGTAGTTCTGGATTTCCCAGCAAGGCCCGTGTCTCGTTCCTGATGGGTCCTCCTTCTCGGGCAGGTGCTGCCAGGTCCACGACAACTGCTACTCTGCAGCCAAGAAGCACCCGCACTGCAAGTTCCTCCTGGACAATCCCTACACCAAGACCTACGCCTACAGCTGCTCTGGCACCTCCATCACCTGCAGCGGTAAAGGCAGTCCTTCACCTTTTTCCTGGGCAAGAGCAGTCAATCTTGGCACCCAGACCTGGCAGGCTCGTATGCCCTGAGCCAAGCCCGTACAGACTCTGGGGGCCTGCTATGGAGTCCATGGTGGCACAGAGGGCTGGGAGTGGCAGTACTGTAGCACCTCCATATCCATGGGCGATGGGTTACTGGAAAATGTGGATTACAATGAATGCTAGTTTAATAGTGAATGCTATCACAAGGTCTCTGGCTCCCTCTAGAGGCCAGTCCTGGCAATGACATCATGGAAAATACGTTTCTCGAGTGAACACTAGGCATCGCATGGTGTCTGGTTCCCTCTAGTGGTCAGATCCAGTGACTTCATCTTTAGAAATATATATATCTGGGATTTCTCATTTAATATTTTTAATATTTTTCAGGCCCAGGATAAGTGAATCAGTGGGTACTGATCGCACAGATAAGAGGGTTCTACTGCACTAAATTTTGTTGCCATTATTTTTCTCGAAGATGTGTGTTTGTGTATGTGAGGGAGATTGAAGTGTAAAGGGTACAACATAACCTTGCCGATGGGCATTACAAGGGCCACTTAAAAAAAAATCAAAAAAGGGGGAAAGGGGGACCTGATTTGCATAAAATAGGTTATAAGTTTTAGGTACCAATGCAAAATTTGGAATGATTTCTATAATTTAAATAAAATTACCACACACACACCTCACTCAGGTGGGAGAGACTCCATACAGGCATCCTTTCCACCTGCAACTTTTTACATCCTGGATGTTGTGCATGGTGGATAGGTCTCCCTCATATGAATCTTTGATGTTTAAATGAAGCTTGGACTGGATAGCTCTTTCAAAGATGGACTATCAGCCCTCAAAATGGAGGATTCTGCTCCCTAAAAGGCAGCAAACATGGATATGATGCAGCCACTTATCTGTTGCCTTGTGCGTTGGTCACAACAAAATGAAGCAAGAGCTGCCAACGGGAAGCTTTTAACTAAAAGGCACAGGTGACTTGTTGGGCCTTTCTGGGACTGTTTCAGATAAAAAAAACCCTCAAGGGATTATATGTCCCAGGTGCCACAAATTCCCAGTGATAAAATAAAGGAGGAGGAAAGAGACTATATTAGAAAGCATCAGATGGACAATGAGGTTTGGTTGGAAATAAAGTAAGGCTGTCAATTTCAGAGAAAAGGGCTGCAGTGAATGCCAAGACATAATGTCAGATGGAAGTTTAAAAATGATGCTTTTGATGAGCCAAAATCCTGTTGTGTAAATTATGCCTGGAGAAGGCTGATGAGAGCACTGGTAGGGGGAGAATTTTAGAAATAAAAGACTTCCTCCTTCTGTCCCATGGCTAGTTAGAATCAAAAGTGTGCAAGCCATGGGAACGATGGTATGGAAGGAGGGACTCCTTAATTACCAAATTCCCATGCCAGTTACATCTTCATCCTTCTCCAGGCATAATTTACGCATTTTTGTCCATTGTCCAAAAATGCTTTGAAGGAAGAGTTTTTACTATTTTAAAGCAAACAGCAAAAAAGTTACTGGGACTCTAATATCCTCATGTTCCTCTCCTTGTCTTCCTTTCTTTCCAGAGAAGAATAATGAGTGCGAGGCATTTATTTGCGAGTGTGATCGCAACGCAGCTATCTGCTTTTCAGGAGCTTCATATGACCCAACCAAGAAGAACCTAGACACAAGCAAACACTGCTAGTGAAACCTGTTGGCCCACTCCTGAAGGGCTGACACACCTGAGTGCCCCTGGATTCTCTGGGGAAAGGAGGGTGATAGTTGACCAGACAGGAGTATTCTCTCCCCGCCCCCCGTCCATGCTCCTTGTGTACTGCAGAAAGTTGTCTGGATAATGGTTTCTGTCTTTTTTTTTTTGGTGGCCATTTTGGCGCCCCTGGATTCTCTGGGGAAAGGAGGGTGGTAGTTGACCAGACAGGAGTATTTCCCCCCCACCCCACCCCATCCATGCTCCTTGTGTACTGTAGAAAAATGTCTGGTTTCTGTGTCTTTTTTTTGGTGGCCATTTTGGTGTGATCTGGCTATCTCCTCGAAGACAGTCTGGAAATTCTTTTAAGAAACACACACAAAAATAAAAGAAAGAAGCACAAAAAATATATATAAAGTGAAGTGTTTGCAGGATGACCTTTTCCAGCAAAGGGTCTCCTAAGTAACCAAAGCCATCATCCAAAATGATCTCCTCTTTTCTTCAGTTCCTCTTTGATGATGGGGGAGAAACAGCGCTATGTCACTTTCACGAAGTATCTCAATTTCTTACCACCTCCTGTAGGGAGTGCCAGGTCTTCTGGAGAGCTCAGGGGTTTTAGACCACTGGCTGCAGAACCAGAGGCTGGGAATTCGATTCCCCAATGGTGCCTTCCTGAGAAGGGCTAGATCTGAAGTTCTATTGGGTCCCTTCCAGCTCTGAAGTTCTAGAATTATTATTCTCAGCTGTTCAGAGGTCAGAACCCTCTCTTTGAATAATATCTGATTAGCTTTGCCCCCACCGTTTCCACCAGAGGTGCACAGAACGTCACCCTTTTTTGGTTCACAGAGTGCTGGCTCATTGCTGAAATTCTGTTTAACCGCCATGTGAAGAAAATTTCATTTTGTGAGCTTGGAAGCTATTTTCTGATGGAGGTTTCCAAGTCCTAAAGAAGGATCCCTTCCAAAGTAGTTGCATTTTCTGTCTTCTTTTCTCTCTCCCCCCCCCTTTAATTTTGGGAAAGTGCTATGGGGTAAAACAACACACACGCATACACACACACACACCTAGGGCAAAAGGCAGGGTGGTCTGTGCAGAATTCAGCGGGTTCCATTCAACGACCAGGAATAAAAGTGGAAAGGAAATCAGAATTGAACAAGTAGAAGCAAAGGGACACTGGTCACTGGGGAAAAATTAAAATAAATCCCATTTCTTCTGAGCTGGGCCAGTGCTGATGATGAGAAGGGACCGTGTCTGATGGTCCTGGAAAGGGTTGTTTTTGCACAGAGCAATCTCCCTTCAAGCATCTCTTCCGTCCTGCGGGGAATCGCTTCATCCTGGCCCCACAAAAACATAGCAGAGCGACCCGCTGCACCAGAAAGGCCCAGTTCAGGGGGGGGGGCGGCGATCCAGGCTGGGAGGACGCCCCTCTCCTTGCAGGTCAGAAAATAGCTCACCCTGGACTGTTGTATTGGTAGAGAGATTGAGAGAGAGGATAACCCTCTTCCTGAGAAGCGGTAGAAACGTGGGGCCTCTGTCTCCACCCCATTGGGGTGACCAGACCCCAGGGCACCCCCTCGCCAGCCTGGCTCTGTGGGGTGGAGTCTGTGGCCAAAAAAGCTGGCTGGGGAGGGAGGAGGGGACTGGAAGGGGCAAAAGAGCAAGGGGGTGATGGGATGCCTGGCTCAGAGCCCCACCCCCCATGCCAGGGAAACCCTCTCAACCCCTTCTCCTGAGGGCCTCCAGCCCCCCCTGGGCAGGCTGGCTCAGGGTGGGTGGGTGGAAAGAGAAGGAACATGGGATTTGTAGTCTGTAAAGGAGGAGTCTGCTGCCTCTTGCCCCTCACCTGGCAAGGGGGTGAGGGGCTGGGTTCTGATGAAGGGTGGGGGTGTCACCCGCCGCACCTCTTGGGCAACACCCCTCCCCTCCCTCAGCGAGGCTGGTTAAGAATCCCCAAAGGTGAAGTCCGCCAAAGGGAGGTTTCCTGGGTCCGTCCCTAGACGACACCCCCTCTTCCCCCTGCAGAGCGCCTTAGACACTGTACTCGAGAGAGAAAAAAGTAACTTTTCTGGGCTTTTGTGGGAAGCCGAGTCCCTGCGCCTTACCGGGAGCCGCCGCCTCCTCTCGGAGCGGTTAAAAAGAAGCGCCTCCCGCGGTGTTTCCTGCCTCTGCACGCACTTTTCCCGGGGAAATGCGAGTCTCCGCACGTGGGGAAGGGTCGGACACGCGAACGAGAGAGAGGGAGCCTTCCTCCTCCTCCTCCCCCCCGCCCCTCCCCGCTTGTGTCACAATGTGGGCATCCCGACTGGGGTGGGCGCGGGCGAG